GCCTTCTATTCCGGTCAATTTGGCACGTATTAACAGTTAATTCAGCAAATGTTTTCTGTCTGGCTGTGATTGTGTGTGTGTGTGTGTGTGGGTATTTGCTGCCTGTTTGTTGGCACTGTAGATATTTCATATACTACCTGCAGCCATTGTTGCTTCCATTTAAGAAATATGCTTTGGTAACTGGAAATTGCATCCGCTGCAGCTCAACCACAAGTCCTGTGTAAGTGTGTGTGTGTGTGTGTGTCCTTTGTTTAATCAAGCAGTAGGTCAGATTTTCAAAATTGTTCATTAGATGTCTCGTGTATGTGTGTGTTTGTGGTCAGTGAAAATATCAGTAAATCAAAATGTTTGACTTATTGCAAAATATATTTTTAAGATGAAAACGAGTTGTCTTCTAGTTATATTACCATAAAAAAATTAAATTTTTATTTTAACAAATCTTTCTCGTTAAAAAAATAAAACTAGAATCTGATATAACATGGAAATCCAAGCCACAAACGGACAAGTAACCTTCATGAAAATTTACCAAGTGTTCTTGCATTTTTTGTAGTTGGCGGTTTTATATATGTACTATTTAAACATGAATGTATTAAATAAAAGGAAAATACATTGCCAGTTCTACTAATGAACATTCCTACTAGGCGGAACGCAGATTTTCTCCTAATCCTTTCTGAATTGGGCCATTCTCATATTTCCTCAATTAAACGCCGCTCTTTAGCGGCGAAAGATGATCCGTCAAAGAGAGTTTTGACTGTATTTATAAGCTTGTACTTTTGGTTGAACTGCCAGCACAATTTTCGTGGCATCTTTTAGGCGCACGTTGCAGCTAAGATGATTTTATTCTGGCCCAATAAGCACAATCTGCGTTTTAGCTATTAGTTTTATGATTCTGTCTGTGTGTGTGTGTGTGTGTAATACAAACACATGTACATGGTGCTCTATGTAAACAGTTTGCTGACTTTTGATTTAAAATCAGCAAAGGCCAGGCAACACACACTCGTTATTTAAGCAATAGATTTTCTTAGTTTCCGGCTTCCATTGAAAACTTAATTAAGCGTTTCAAGCGGAATGCGTGGAATGCGGAAAGCGTAATATATTGATTCAATCCGAGATGAGTTTATTCAAAGCTTTTCATTGGGAATTACCAATGCATTTCTCGATTGTCTGCTTGCCTAATTTAAAAAGTTTAAGGACTTGAAATTTGAAATATATTTGTTGCCTATTTGTGTATTTGTTAAATTGAAATAGCTAGAGCCATGAAATTTGATATATATGTATATATATTCTCGTATATCAGACGCCGAATGAGTTCTTACTTTTACTTTTCCCATTTATATAATATCGTTCAAAATCGATTTTGATATCCCGTAGAGTGTACACATATTAACATATCGCTTTTTAATTTATGCCATATTTATGGTCTGAAAATTGGACTATAAGCACGGAGTCCATTCAAGAGTTTATGCCCTTTAGTGTGGAGAAAAGTGAAGCAGCACGGTCGTAGTTAGAATCTTAATGGAGGTGGATTCAGAGTATCTCTCAGTCGCATTCTCCCTACTGCAGCACTCTCACCTGGTTAAAATATGTAAACGATAAACGATTTATCAAAAATATAATCATCCTGAAGGAGTAAATACAGCTCAACAGATACTAAATCGCTCTAATCGCCCAATTTGTGTCATATTTCGTTGGGTAAAGTAGAACCTAGCCTTCTTATTAGTTTATCAGCTTAGACTATCTGGCCTAATTGATTGTGACAGCCGATGTAATTCTAGATCCAACCATCTGTCAAATTCATCTTCATCGACGTCTACATCGCCAATGTCATCGATAATAAACTTATTTGTTCGAACAGATGAAGGTTCTGCCCAGCACCGTGCACTTAATTTCAATTAACGTTGCTCTGTTGCACTTAAAATGTTGCACATGCGGTCCGCTGCACCTGTCCACAAATGTATCCTGCAGTATCCTTGTGCAACGGGTGTGAGAGCAAACACGCGCCGAGATTGTTGACAGTTGCGTTTGGGCTGCTCCCATAACCACGCCTACGGTTCACCGAATGAGAAGCACACATAATTGACCACACGTGGGGTACGTAGGGGTACGTGGGGCGAGTCCAGGAACTGGGTGTCGCATGTGTAAAGCAAACGTGGGAAGCATACCAAAGCTCATCCTGTCACATGCATCTTTATTCTACCTTCAGCTGATGCGTTGGCATACTTTTTTGCTGACCAACTTTCACTAATTGCGTTGCCTGGCACCCAGTTTTTTGCGCTGTCCTTGGCTGAATGAGTGCCAAACGAATGGAAGGCCAAAACGTTCTGCATATCCGCGAAGATTCCCTTTCGGTTTCCCACTGGCGGATAATTCAATCAGTCTAGCCTGAAAAACTGTCCAGCTTCTGCCAAACAGAGTCAGTTTCAGTTCCGAAATGGACAGAAAAACCCTGCCGAATGGCATTGGATGCAGCAAATTGTATATCAAAACAAGTCAACTTTCGTCCATAAACCGATATACCCAGAGTAACACAGTTAGAGCGGGCATTGGGCCGCGCCTCTGTCTTACTTAAAGCAATACTTTTAAAAAACCTTTTTTGTATAATATTTGATTTTAAAGGTTATTATATCCAAGTCTTTACATTTTGGGTATAACTTTAACCGACCCTAGGCAATTCCACCTATTTATCGCCCAGAACTAGTTGATTTTTTCGTTAAGTGTGAAAAAAGTCTCAATTAAACTTGCAGAAACATCTTTTAAAATGTGTTTTATGCTGATTGTATATAAAGGAAAATTTTAACATAACTTATTCCCACCAATTTTTCAGTCTTGCTCGTGGAATTTTCTAAATTGCCATTTTAGCGTAATTTTAAGATGGGAGGTAACTGTTGTAATAATATCAGCTCTCTAGCGCCAACAAGCTTGATTTTCTATTAAAAATACATTTAGTGAAATATGGAGAAACATATTATAATATTTGCGAATTCAAATCCACTGATCAAAGTGAAAGTTGTTCTATATTAAAAGATTTTTTTATAGATTTAATTTTCAGCATAGTTGAAATATTTTTAAAAAATAGTATATAAAAAAATTCCTAAATATATCAAATGTAACATAAATATTTACTATAAAAAGAAGCCACATAACAATTGTATACATATTATTTCGTTAGCTTTGCACAAATGAGCTGCCAAGTACTTACATTGAGCCTGCCCAATTTGCTGCATTTGTATAGGTGTGGTGCCCACCTGTTGCATATGTGAGGGCTTGTTAGCCACAGCTCATGCACATGACTCGAATGCAGCTGACACGTTGCGGTTAAGAGAGCGCGCTCTTATCGAATCTAGGCTCTCTTTGGACTTGAACTGATTTGCATGCTAGGCCAGCTGTCAGTTTGTGTGTGTGTGCGTGTGTGTGTGTGTGTGTGTGTGTGTCTGCGCGCGATTGGCTGTTGGCCTGGCTATGCGCTGCTTGGCTGACTTTGACCTGATAACCCTGAATGTCGCTGCTGCAGCCGCTTTGGGCCAGGCCAAGTGGCTGTCTGGGTTGCACGACAGCGTCTTCTTGTTGCTGAGTCGAGCAAACAGGTTGCAAAGCTTCGGACGCGTCACTTCCCGGGTGTCGCCTGCTCGGCATGTAGGTCACTAGGACAGCCCAGCACAAAACCGAATGCAAAAAGTAAAAGCGAGCGCACCTGCGCCCCCCCTCCCCCTCCCACCTCACACTGCTCAACCCCCACCCGCAGATGCACATAAAATAAAATACAAATTCGTTAGTGCTTGCCATTTATTATTAACCGATTCTCTTTTATCGCGAACAGGAAAAGGATCAGTATGGCAACGAGGTGCAGCGCCTGGCACGCCCACTGCCAGTGGAATATCTGCTGGTGGATGTGCCCGCCTCGACGCCGCTGCAGCCGCAGTACACATTCACGGAGTACGACAAACGCCAGCCATTCCCGATTGAGAATCGCTATATTGATGGCCATCTGCAGGATTTTAATGCGCTGAGCAGCTATCTTTCGGCCTGGGCCGAGGAGGATTTCCTCGAGGCTATCTCGGACTTCCATTTGCTCGTCTATTTGTACAAAATGGACATGCTGCCGTTGCGCCAGCATATGGGACCGCTACTGGAGGCGGTGCGCGCCAAAAATCCGAACAAGGCGGACGATTTCAAAGGCGAGGAAGTCTGGAAGCTTCTCGAATCGTTGGTCCAGGCCAGCTCAACAGGCAGCGGGTAAGTTGAACGCACGCACGCACACACACACAGACACAAGCTGACCTTGGCATTTCGTTGACAGCGGCACCACCAGCTATCCGAGCGGTGCAGCGACCAGCGCTGGCGGCTCTGGCGCCGATGCCATGGATCTGGATGCCAATACCTGGACGTGCAGCCACTGCACCTTCATAAATCGCGGCGAGCTGAACTCCTGCGAAATCTGCTCGCTGCCCCGATAAGGATACAAATAGTTTACAGCGTGCTCCAGCCGTCAGCTTAGCGCGACGAAATTCTGGTGTTAAATGAAACTAAAGATTCAATCATACTTACTATATATGTATATATATATATATATATATATGTGTGTAGCAAAGGGGCAGGAGGACAGGATGCAATTGCCGCATGCCGCACGCGTTCTCTATAAATGTAATGTGTATAAGAATTTTATAAAAAATTTAATTTATTTTTAAATAAATTTCAATTGTTGAGTATATACTACAAATGTTCAATGGTGCTTACTTCCTGGCCGCCAGAAAACTCTTATTTTCAGCCTTCAACTAAAAGCCGCATTATCTATAATTTATATTTTTTATTTTTTGCCTAGCTACAGGAATCACTCACAGAAAAATATTGCCATCTAGAACGGTAACTTCTCAGATCCGTGCAGGTTTCCCATATTTTTTGGCTATATCATAGCAATTGCTTGCTATCGAAAAGTAAAAGAGATTCTTCAAGATTTCCAAAACATAGCAACCTGTGGCTGACAGTTACGGATACAACACTTTTCAGAAACACAAATTCAGAAAATTAGTTATTATCCAGTAAGCAGACATTTCGGAACTCCTCTAAAAATTGAAGTGCATGTACCTACAAATTAGCAAAAAGGTTATTAAATTAGTTGAGTAGCAGAATTGTTAAGAATGGCGTATCGCATAGTTTCCGGATGTACTTCAGTGCGTGGAGTCTTGAAGTCAATGCCAAAGGTGCAATATTTCTGGTGAACGAATATTTATTCGATAAAATGTTAAATGTATTCATATTTTAGATAAATGTAAATAAACAGGGTTCAATTCGGCAAAGCTCCATGTTTCCGGGTAAGTTATGTTAAAACTATCGAGATATATGTATGTGTTGGACCTTCAATACGGATCGTTTGTAGAACCACCTGTGCCCTGGTTGGAGAAGCCGAGTGTTGTCTTCTCAAGCGGTGCTTTAAAACATCACTGGGGGGTAAGTCTGAACTAATTTTGTATTATTCGGGTATTAAATATCCGAGATATTCAAGTTTACAAGTTTTTCCGAAAACTTTGAATGTTCTTTTATGTGATATGATTTATGGCCATTATTCTGAATTTTGAACATCTTTCGGAATCAGGATTTTTGAATGCGAATCGAAAGTCCTGGTCTAAAGAGGTATATCATTTCGAAATCGGACAAACAATATACCCGAAATATTCGAGTTTTAATGTTTTTGAAAACTTTAAATGGACATAACTCGACTAAATGAAGTCCTATCGCGGACAGACTGAGCGTTTTGTAATCGTGGAGGTAGTTAGAATTGATTAACGTCATTAGCTTACGATTCCAGGGCCAAGCCCATTTTCGAAAAAAAACGTGATTTTCTGTCATTTTGGGAAATGTTTCATAATCAGGATTTTCGAATGGGAATCGAAGGTTCTGGTCCGTACGAGTCGAAAGAGGTATATCGTTCCGAAATCGGAGGAAAAATACCCGAGATATTTAACTTTTAGGATTTTTCCGAAATCTGTAAATGGACATAACTCGAGTATTTGAAGTCCTATCGCGGACAGATAAGGCGTTTTGTAATCGTGGAGGTCGTTAGAATTGATTGGCGTCAAAAGCTTTCGAATCCAGGACCAAGCCCATTTTCGAAAAAAACGTGATGTAACCAGTGCATTTTTCGTCATTTTGGGAAAAGTTTCAGAACCGGGATTTTTGAATAGGAATCGAAGGTTCTGGTCCGTACGAGTCGAAAGAGTTATATCGTTTCGAAATCGGAGGAAAAATACCCAAGATATTTAACTTTTAGGATTACTCCGAATAATTTAAATGGCCATAACTCGGTGAAATGCGATAAACTATTCCCGGATCTGACCTTCTTTGCCATTGTTATAATCTGCTACATGAATTAAATGCAAATTCCAGCTAAGGTCCTAAGAAATTCTCCGACTCCGTAACTTAGCTGTAGCAATTGCAAGCGGCCTTTAAAAATGGAGAGAAATTAAGAAAATGAGATCTTTTTCGGGATTTTTTTCATATGGCTATGAAATTTGGCTCGAGCAAAGCGAATGGCACCGGCTTGTATTATAAAAATGTAGTTTGATATACAATATTACGACTTCTAACAAATACTTTAAATTGCTGTTCTATACAAATGAGAATTTACACATTTAGATAAGAGTATTATAAAAAGGTTTTTGTGTGCTAGAAAAATGAAAGTCTTGCTAATGTTTTTCTAAGAAATCAAAATCATAAAGCTGTTTCTCTATGCAAAACTAACTAGGCGTAATTTACAAATACGAGTACGAAATTTGATAGAAAACTAAGAAAAAAAAAATATTTACTGTGTGTTACGTAAATCTTGTGTTGAAGCAAATGCAAGATAATAATTTAAGACTACAATAATATATGTATGTATATATATATTTTATGTGAAACATTTATTGAGTTATATATATGCATATATGTATTTGTGTATATATATATTATATTAATTATTCATATAATTACTATTACGCTGTGACAATAAGATGAGTTTTTGGGTTTTTGTGTTTATTTAAATGTATTTCTTGTACGTAACTAAATGCCAAATTGTGTATGTCTGTGTGTGTGTGTGTGTGTGTGGGTGTGTGTGTGCATACTAATTAGGCGCTAATCAACACTATTTCTAAATATACTTTATATATGTATATGTTTATATTTGGTATTAATTAATATGTGTTTATTGCATAAGAAGCTAAAAGTTAAACAACTTTGGAAACAGCATTTAAAGAAGTTCTGTACTTAATATTCAGTAATTATTATATAACAGTTTGCGCATTTTTTACTGCATATCTATAGAATATATAATTATTTATTGTAATTTTTGGTTTAGTACAACTTGCAACACAAACTACGTTCGTATATTTTCAATGCTTTCTTTTTTTCTTCTTTTTTTTTTCAAAGAAACTAAAATTTGTATGCTTCACGTCAATGTATGTGTGTTTGTATACAGCAGGCAGCACATAGTTTTATCATGTGCTGGCGTTAGCATTAAATTGGTTCATTATTCAACACTGCACTTAAAATCTAATATTAGCTTTTGTTGGGAATTTCTGTTACCTCCTCTCGTATGCTTCTCGAAAGCTTCTGAAAACTCACGCATACGTTCTTTTAAAATATATGTATGTAAATAAGTGCGTAGGCATATATGTATGTATGTATGTTATGTTTGTCAGTATCAAAGTTATTACTATATGCATATTGCTTATACGTTTTATCTGTGTTTCGTTCTTGATGCTGAGGTGTACTCCAAAACGTGTATTGTCCACATATGTTGTTGCTTTTATAACTTGTTTAAAGCAAAGACTTCTTCGCGTCTTTAGCGATATATCATGATATATATATCATGATATCAAAATCCAGTAACAGTTTCTTACTTTGAACCAGTTTTGCTAGCGACATGCACTTTGCGCTTTGGTATTGTAGAGAGTGTTCGAGAGTGTGTTGAGAGGTTTCTGTTTAGTTATATACAAATTAAAGTAAATCTAAACAAATATTACAGTATTACTTTCAAAAATAAACCCAAAAGATACTAAAAAGAATTACAGAGAGCAGAAATTTAAAGAAAATGTAAAATGTAACGCTTTGAGCTACGAAAAGAGTTAAGAAGTTACTTGAAAGATATAGTATGTATGTAGAATTGGATGTGGCAATCATTTGAAGTACAATAATACATGACGAGAAACGAGCGTACATTATACGTAGGGTACACTGTATTCTACAAAGTCTAATATGACGGTGGTTTCTAATTCAACTATCAGCTAATTAATTAACTATTTTAATGGTAATAATAATTATTATTATGCCGTTAATAATCTAGGCTTACGTTCTACACACTTCTTGAGTTTATAAGTATATACCATATATTCGTATATATACATATATATATGTATGTAGATAGATTGTTTATTGTGTGCATTGTACAGCAACAAAATGCGTGCAGACTAATTACGACAAATTACATTAATTACTTGATTTATTTTATAGAAATATTTCTTTCGTTTTTCCTTTTTTTTTTTTTTTTGTCTTCTTTTAAATCAAATGCAAATTTTGTTTATTTTTGAATTTTCTTTGTGTTACACATTTTTTATTTATTTCGTTTTCGAAAAATTGAGATTTTTGTTTTTCAGCATTATATTTTGAGGGTTGTTCCGTTTTTTGTTTTTTGTTGTAGCTAAGAGTAAATACAGAGTTGACAATTTCCATTTTGTATATATAGAAAGAGTTATATATGGGTTGTCTAAACATTCGCTACAAGTATAGAGCGACATACAGAGAGCGACAGGATCTTTTCCTTTTGTGTGTTTGTATATAGATTTATCCTGTCTTACGCTATATATAATAAATAAATAATAATAATTGTTTAAACATTACCAAATTTCATATATGTTGGCTGCAAATTGTTACATATAATAAAGATGTATGTATGACAGCATATGCCACATATATCGAGCATATATTTTCATAGATGTATTTGTCGAAAACTAAGGTCAATTCAACTGGTTTCTATATAAGTACTTATACATGGGTTGCTTATGGCCTAGAAGATATACGTGACAACTTAGCACTAGAACTTGAATTCTTTATTTTGTATTTGTTTTTCATCTATCCTTTTATTAATATAATGCACTTGCTTATCGTTTATTAGTTTTAGGTTCATTTTGAAAAACAAATGTACAACAGTTAGTAAGTTGTTCTTCTGCTTCATAATTCTTTGCCTTGAATTAATCAGAGGATTGTAAACCATATACCAAATTATATTTCATTTCAACTATGGTCAAACTATGGTTCAAAGGTTCAAAATATGGTAGCTTGTCAACAAAGTTTAATCCAACACGTTTTTGTTTACTTTATTATTTTTACTTTTAAATATTCATTTCAAATTCCTCGTTGCAAAAATTGTACTGATAATTATTACATCTAACAAGTTCTTCAAATAAGTATGTAAATACCATCAGCTGTAGCTCTCAATCTCTCTTATATAGTTTCATTAGCTCGTTTTCAAGATTAAAGTAAAGCCCAAATAGTTACAGGATTGAAAAACACTAAAAAACAAAAATATATATACTATATAGTGAGGCAAAAAACTGAACGTGGCCAAACTACTTTCAAATGAAAACTTGTCTGAATTGGGGTTTTTTTGCTGTTGCAAGTTCTTTTTGTCATGTCAATTAGTTACTGGAAGACGAGTCTAAGTTATATGTGTGTATATATCAATTTTTTCGTGTTTTTGGTTTTTCTTTTTTTTTTTAACAATTAAGAAGAATTTGTTGTGGCTTTACTCACCTTTTAGTCGGGGCATACTACTTAGTTCGTAGCGCCCATGCAAAAAGAAATCCTCTGCTGATTGAATATCATTTTTTTTGAAATACATTAAAATTGAACTTGGTGTTGAATTCGTTTGTTTCGTCGCATTTATGGGCAATAGTACCGCGTTATGTTTGTCTCCTACAACTGCCTAAAATATAGCTCAATAAATTGATATGTGACGAGCTGTTAAAAGTTGTACGTGTTCCTTGTTCAATTAAGAAAACGTTTTTCCCTTTGGTTTTTTTTTTGTCTTTAAATATACATTTTGAAATTTTTTTTTTTTTTTTTTTTTAGATTTTAGGTATATTCATTTTGCTTAACACTTACATTTACTTTGCTTTATATAGTTCTTATATTATTTTGTCTTTGATTTTGTGTTACTTTTTGAAATAAGCATAAATCGAGCTTTAAATATAATAGATATATTTTTTTTTTTGTATATATAGCAATTGATAAATAAATAGCATTTGTCATTCACACAGATGTGAATGGTATATAAGAGCTAATATGCTCGGCTGCATTGCTTTTAAATCATTCAACACGTTTAAGACTTAAATCTTAAGCTTAAAACTAAATTTATTTGCATGCCATTTTTGCAATATGTTAAATTTGAATGTTTTTATTTTTCGATTATCTTTAATAATTGTTAAATAATAGTTGCATTTTATATTTTCCCACGAAAATAATTGCTTTTATGCTTTATTGTTTACGTTTACGTTTTTCTTTAGTTTGTGTTTATAAATTTTCGTTTTCTTGTTTATACTTACTTAATTCTGTTAGAGTAGATAGAGTATTGATTTGTGGCTATGCACATCAATTGACTAGCTTGAATTTGTTGTTGTGTGTGTGTGTTTGCGTGTGTGTGTGTGTGTGTGTGTATATAGTTTATTAACAAATTATAACAAGGCAAAAAACAATGCACAAGAAGCCAAAAAAAAAAAAATGTCCAAATAAATTCTAGAGTCGTCAGATTTGTAACTAAATTTGCTCAATTTGGGTATTCTATAGTACATATATATTATTTAAATCACCCGATTTCTGATCGAATTTCGCTAAGATATTTTTGGTTGGTCCTCGGTCCTCATTAGTCACTCGAAAACAACTACGTTTGGGTTTCTATACACAATCTGCACTAAAGCATATCAAAAATCGAACGACTTTCGTTTCCATTAAAGAGATTCTTCCACTTCAACGAAAACAAGACACTTGCCTATCTATACGAAAGAGTATTTAGTTTTTTTGTGTGTACAATTTTTACTGCCGTAACACTGCTTCAAAGTGATATGCGTTTTGTTAGCCTCAGAACAACAGTTCAGCCTAGGGTTATGAAATGTTTTCATGTATCTCCATTTTGAAGTACCGCTCAGTAAGTATTTTGCCACATTTTGAGACGCTGTCTTATATATATAATAGATATACACATATAATATATTTAAAGGTATGCCTTTTGGTTTTTGTTTTTGTTTTTGTTTTTGTTTTTGTTTCTCTAATTGAATATATCACGGTCTTGCTAAATATCGCTGTATGCATGTAAATATCTATAAAGTTGTCACTCGACTTTAGTTCTATATATGTATGTATGTATATGCGCTTCTTCTTGTTGTATACCGAGTATATTGAGAGAACATATCAACATTATCCAACTAGACAATATATATATATGTATATATAGTACAATAGCTAAAATCCGATTGACTATCGTTAAGAGTTCTGTTGTTTTTTTGTTTTTTTTTTTAGGTAATTTGGTTTACGAATACTGACACTTGAATGCTCTGAAACACAGTTGATCTTATTGTCATATGATGTATGCATGTATATGTATGTATATATAATGCCATCTAAATGGGGGAATTTTGTTTGTTTTTGTAGTATATATACTGTGAGAAGATGATATGGATTGCAAATTGGTTCACTTGCATTCTCGTTAAGTTTTGTATATATATTTATATATAGAGTATATAGTTTATATATAGAATTATACGCAATTGACTACTTGAACATGTTCCATCATGCTTTATTTATATATATAGGTATATATATATAAATATGTATGTTCTATATAGCTAAAAATGTACGTAGTACTATATAAGTTCAACCTACAAGTACGAAAAAAAGACAACTAATTTATAGTAGTATATATGTGTGTGTGTGTGTGAGTGTATGTATGTATTTATGTGGTCATATATTACAGCAATTTGGTCGCATAAACGACGATATTTTTGTTCATATTTGGTTCATATTATTGATGAGATTGAAAATTGAAAATTGTCGCTACCACAAAATGAATAACAGATGATATTTAATTCAAAAACTGAACAATTCAACTATTTAACTATGGTTGTTTGCTTTTTGTTTTTGTATTGGGTTTGTTTTTTTTTTCTATAAAAAATTATATGTATATGTATATATTTACTGATATATATAAAGAGCGCTATATATGTTGTGTTACTAAGTATATATATCAAAATTCGCAAGCTACTACTTGGGATTACATATTTCTTTTAATATCAAAATATTTCATTTTTGGTTTTTTTTTTTATTTTTTTTGAAGAAATTATTCGAATTGAGTTATTTTTCAGACTGTTGCTACCAAGCACAAAACTCATTTTTGGCGATTTTGATCACTTTGAATGTTGGAACTATTCGACTGTTAAGAACGTTGAAAATGTTTTGGAAGCATACAATTCGCTAAATGTATGAAGACGACATGTAGATATATGTAGGTAGAGTATATAAAAATGAAAGTTAGTAAAAACGAGTTGAAAGCATTTCCAATCAAAATTCGACTACGAAATACGTGTGCAAGGGCTGAAATATCTTCGATCTTATAAGAGCATATAATTAACTAAGTCTAAAGCATTTTTTGACTTCTTGCGCTAAAAATAAACCGAAGTAATTGGACGAAAAATGCAATCATACAAATATTTAATATTTATTCAAATTATATATGTATAATAAATAAATGGTATATATATTTATATTTATATATAGATATAACAATGAGTTCTTGTTTAAAAAAATAAGTATGTTAGTTCGTTTATGCAAAGTGTAGGCCATGGCTAAGCATACGAATTGTCAGGGCTACAACTTAAACTGTATTTAAATGCTGAGATCTAGGCAATATTTCTTTGTATTTTTGGTTTTTCGTGGATTTATTGGGTTCGTTTTCAAAAAAAATATGATTGATAAGTACTTGTTTTGAATGGCACCAAATAGCTTTTTTTTTTGTTTGGAATGTGTGTTAAGTTCTTAAGCATAAATAATAAATAAATAAATTAAGGGGAATATGTTACTAAATTAGTTGTGTCAATTCTCTGTGTATATATGTGTGTGTGTGTGTGTACTACTTAAATGCAGCATTACGAGTCTTAAATTCAGCCCAGCAAAATGGTGTATACAAATTATCTTTGGTATAAGAAATATGAGACGACACATGGGTTGGGGGAAAGGCGAGAGTTTCTTGAGATGCTGTACAAAGACAAATACTGGGTAAACTAAATAAAATAAAATCAAATATATAAATGCCCAATATATATATATACATACTCACCTCTAAAATGCAGACACATAGATATATTTAAGTACAAAAAAAGAAACAAGAACACAAAATAATATAAATAATCTCCCCACCTGGTGTCGCAAGATCTACACACAATGTTGATATAGGTTGAGAAGGGTAGAAGGGAGAAGAGCACAACATTTACGAAAGTTCAACAAAATATCAATATCAGTAAAAAATTAAATAAATATATATAAATTGATCAAATATATACACAATCTAGTTAATAATCATAATAAAACAACACAAATTCTCTCTTCTTTTCTTTCTTGCTTGTTTCATTAGCAACGCTTTTTGTTTTTGTTGTTGTAAACCAGTTTTATTAAACACAAAAATTACTTCAAAATGTTTTTCTTTTATAATTATGTTGGTGTGTGTGTGTGTGTGTGTGAGTGTAGTGTGTACACATACATATAAACTATATATACATACGCAAATAATTACTTTCAAATGATAACTAAGTAAATTAATTAATTAAAACTAAAGTTGAAACATGCAAGCGAATCAAATGTTTTAATTAATGTTTATAGAGTACACAACGGCACGCTGCCTGTTTTTTGTTTTTTTTTTATAACTATTTTATAATGAAGTGTTTGTGTGGCATAATGTAGTGTAGTGTAGTGTAGTGTAGTGTAGTGTATTTTCTCTTTAATGCAAAACTCAAATGCAAATGCTACAGCTAAACAATTACAAATTATAACTAAGAGAAGGGTTTTCTTTTGTTGTTGTTGTTGTTGTTGTTTTCATTAATACAATAACTACTTGTTTAAAGTTTAAACTATTTGTTAAGTAATGCGCATGAGTAGAAAAAATTTCAAAAATAATATTAAGTTAAAGCAAATTACAAACAAAAAAAATAAAAATAAAATAAAGTGAAATGTAAGAGTTTGGTAAAAATGTTGAGAAACTGGATTCGAGCACAAAATATGATTTAGAACAAATATTTAGTGAACAGTCGCTTAAGTCTGAAATATTGGTAGCGTTTTTTCCAGGCTTAGTACGCTGCTTGAGCATTTTGTTGGGTCTTAAATACATTTATATGGGCAGAAAAAAGCGATCTAAATATTTTTGGGGCGTGTAGATATTATAAGAGAATGTATGACATAATACATGTAAGGGATATATAGAGTACAACAAAGTTGAGGAGGAAAATGCAGCTTTTTAACAGTTTTATTCTGAAGTACAAAAGTAGAGTGTGTCACAAGTGTGTGTGTGTGTGAGTGAGTGCGTGTGTGTGTGGGGTTTTGGTGTGTGTGATGTTTGTTAGGTTCTCTTGTCTCTGTCTCTGTCTCTGTCTAACTGCTATGCTGGGTGAATTAAATTCGAGCTCAAAAAACTAAATAACTAAATTATGTTGTGTAGTTTAATGCATGTTAATATTTTTCTTTTCTCGTTTTGTTTTTGCTTTCTTTCAGTTTGATTTTAGTTTTATGTGTTTATAGTTATTTAAATGTTTAATATTTATTATACAATTATATATATATATATATTTTTGTTTGTTTGTTTTTATATTTTATAATACGAGGCTTGAGCAAAATGTTTGTTAGTTCGTTTTTCGTTACTCGCTTTTCCTTTGCTTTGTTCAGTGAGCTTTTCTTTTATATATATATATAATTTAGTTGATGCTTTTATAGAATAGTTTTTATATTTTTTTTTACGTTTTAGTTATATTTAGTTTTATGCACTAAAAATTATATAAACTGCTACAAATAAACGCAATCACAATCGGTGGTTTTTTTAAATTGTTTTTTTTTTTTAATGTGTTTTTTTTTTCGTAATTTTTGGTTTAATGTTTTTTCATTAATTTTTTATAAACTTCTTGTTTTTCTTTTTATTTGCTCTGCTTAGTCGCAGCTTTGCCTCGCGGGCTGCTCTTGTTGTTGTTATATTGCTTATCATGTTTATTGTTATTATTATAGAACGCGTTGGGGCGTGGCTAGAGCCTTAAATATAATACTTAATATGCTGTGAATTATGTGTGTGGGCGTGTGTGTGTGTATAGGAGGGTGTGTGTGTGTGGCACTAAGAACTAAGTTAAACCAAGTCAAACCAAGGTTAACCAAATTTTGTGGTGTCATGAGATTTGTGTAAGTGTGTGTGAGAGAGAGTATGTGTGTGTGTGTGTGTATAATTGTATGCAAATTACAAAGAAAGTTAAAAAGAGATAGATAGATAGATAGTGTCAGGGGGGTGGGGGTGGGTGGTTAGCGGCAAGCACTGCTTAGACATACATGCCCATGCCATACATGCTGCTCCAGTCGACACCCTGGAAACTGGACATGTCCACATTGGCCAGCGCATAATTGGGATAGCCGGCAGCCGGATTGCCAGCTGCTGCTGCAGCGGCGGCAGCTGCTGCATTCAATGGATTGCCGGCGACGAGTGCCGCCTGTTGGGCGGCGGCCAGCGAATGGGCATTGGCGCCCGCCCCATTTGCCGCATTGGCAGCCAAAGCGGCGGCGGCGGCCGCCGAATGGGCCTGTGAGGCAGCATTGTTGGTGGCAGCGGCTGCAACGGCGGCAGCGTGATGTTGCTGCTGCTGTTGTTGCTGCTGCTGCTGCTGCTGTTGTTGCTGATGCTGCTGATGATGATGATGATGCTGCTGATGCAGACCGGCGGCAGCGGCGGCGGCGGCAGCGGCATGTGCATGCGCCGCATTATGCGACTGCTGCTGCTGATGGGCGGCCACGGCGGCGTTCTGTGCCTGATGTGCCTGCATCAATGCGGCATTGGCAGTGGCGGCGCTGGCGGGTATGGTGTACGGTGCATATCTAAAGAGAGGGAGAGAGAGAGAGAGAGGGGGGGGGGGCAGAGATCAAGAGAGGAGGGGAGTGTATTTAGTAATGTGATTAAATGCAATTGCTTCCAATTCCGTTGCTCACCTGACGCCGTGCAGCGCTGTCTGCGGATATGAGGCAAGCAGCTTGCCAAAGTTGCTCTGATTAGCGGCCATTGTGGCAGCGGCGGCTGCGTTTTGTACTTGAAACGGATTCTGTGATATGAGCGCCGCCTGCGCCTGTGCGGCTGCTGCAGCCGCTGGCGATTGCAGCAGCTGTGTTGGTGTCTGCAGCATGGCCAATGGATTCATGGAGGCAACGCCAGCGCCTCGTGCACCCAATAGCTGACCCGGTGCCGTTGGCAGCTGTACGCCGAGGGTGCCCAGCATGATGCGCTTCTGTAGCAGCTGGGCGGCGGGTGTGACAGCCTCTTTGGGTTGCGCCTTCTTGCATTCGACCTTCTTGTTCTTGATGGTATGGAAATGTATCTCACAGACGCGATCCACAACATCCTCGTTCTCGAAGGTGACAAAACCAAAGCCGCGATGGCGTTTCGTTTGCTGATCCATTAGCATGACCGTTTCCTCGACGGCGCCAAATTGACTGAAGTAGGCTTTCACCTCTTCGGCGGAGGTGTCCTGTGAGACGCCGCCCACAAATATCTTTTTGGTCTTATTGGCCTGGCGTGGTCGATTCTTGGGCGTGGCATGTTTGGGATCGATCTTCTTGCCGTCCAGTGTGTGTATGGGTACCTTCAGCACCTTGTCCACGGTGCAGGGTTCTTGGAATGTGATGAAGCCAAAGCCGCGACTGCGCTGTAAGTTGTGACGTGACACAAGAGAGAGAGAGGGAGAGAGCGAGCGAGCGAGCGAGCGAGAGAGAGGGAGAAACACAAAAGAGAGACAGAGTTTAGTAAATGTTAGTCCAAAGATTCGATGCGCTTCAAATTTGGAGGTTAGAGGCGGCAATTACGAAATACGTATATAATTATATTGTATATATGTTATATATATGTATGTATATATGCATATATAAATCTAAATTTGCAAAGTGATCAGCTAATTGCAAGTTAATTATTTGTAAAGGTCCTACGTAACGTTAGCAAAAGTTTAACAAAGTTAAAAATCAATTCATCAACAGTTCGAAAACAGTTGATGCCACCGATTAAAAAACTCAACCAAAAAATAAATATTAAATGTTTAAACTCAAATTAAAATACTTTTTCCAAATTAATTAACCGATTGTATATATAGTTTGCATGTTTATCAGAGATTTGCATTGAGTACATTTTGCGTACTATTCGAGCAGTACTCGAAGTTGTTCGACTACTCATACGCAAAAATACTCGTATGTATGTTTGCGTGTGAGTACTACGCATACTCTTCTAGGCAGACTACGCAAAAGTACTCGTTACACTTCTCCAATGTCCCAACGTGGGCATAGCCTCTTGTTACACTTTTTGTATTGAAAAATCACGACAACAAATCAGTAACAACAAGTTTGTCGGAGGTAAAACACACATTTAAATTACGTAAAATTATGCTCAACTATTTACTAAAACTTGGACTAAATACTTTTCAGATTTGAACAATAGAATTATTCAAGTTTTCCATCAATGTCAAGCCCGCTCTAAGTATATACACAAATATATATATATCGAATATAAACATAATTATTTTTTCTTTTTTTTTTTTCGACCTCTTCACTTTTCCAAATAATATTTAACAATAATACAAAGATACATATGAGGCTTTATATATAGCTATATAACTATATATATAGCGTGTGATAGTAAGTTCTTATATGCAGCATATAGATAGACAGTTAGATAGAGAGAAGAAAGAGTGTAAAAAACGGATCAAACGCTTTTACTAGGCCAGTACGAATATCGAGAGGATACTTATGTGATGAATCATTATAGATACTTCCTAAGTACGATATTAACGAATAGCTTTTGGGCTTATCCCATACAATTGCTGGTTAGTTTACAAAGAAACATACGTTCTTAATATTAATATTATCATTACTATATATATTATTTTCTTTACAAAACATGAGTTGGATGTGTAAATAAGTTGCTTATATCTACGTTTTTATCTTCTTTACAATCTGGTACAAATACATATATATTTTACAACAATTGACTTAAGCCTAAGGCGATTTTTTTTTATAACCCTGCAGAGCTTTATCTATAGCAGCTGAAAAATAGCCAAGTCTATATATTCTAAAACTCTATAGTCGAGCTTTTGCATAATATATGTATTCTATTCATCTTAAATCATGAATATAGTTCTTTGCTTCTGGCAAAATTTATCTACAACTAATTGGTAGGGTTATATGACAGAAATCTACACCTAAATAAAGTAATAAGTATATCTGGAAGGGCATATTTACCTCGGCGTGCCGAAGTTGTTTATTTTTGTACAAATTTTCGAAATGATAACTACTTATGATATATGTATGTACATATGTAGTACGTCCCGCACAACAAGGCCTGCTAAGAAGGCCGACAAATTGTTGATGTAGCTCAAATAAATTAATCTATATCACATAATGCTCTACGCGTGTTCATAATAGTATAAATATTTTTAACATTAAAAGGTCTTTTACCATTAAAAGGTACGATTTAAAGGCTGACGAGTTCTTAAGGTGATTTTAAGAAAACAAACATCTATGTATGTACTATATATAAAATGGGATTTTAAACTCGGGGCAGTAATATTTCAAACTCTGATTAATTACAAAATAAATTGACCTACTAAAGTTAAATTCTTTTGTCATTTCTTGTAGCTGCACTTAAAAATAAAAAAATAAAAAGTTAACTAAATTATAAATTAGTTTTGGTGTATATAAAGTATTTGTATGGCTGAGTATATAAACTACAGAACTAACGCAGGAAATAGTTAAGAGATATATGCCAAGAAATAAATAAAGCAAAAATTAAACACAAATAAAGACTAAACTTAGTCGTACTCAATACTGGTATAAAACTAGGCTAGAGCTAGGTTCCTTTACAGATTGTGTGATATGTGTAGTAGAAAACCAGGCTGTATCACATCTTACTGCTAGAGGGGAGTTTCGAAATTTGTTTTCATTATAATGTATTTAAGGGGTATTATAAAAATATTACTGCAGCTAGATTTCTTCTATATCTAGTATGTAAAATACTCATAGTTCGAAGGCGGTTCTTTTTTAGTCGCTTTCTTATCGAATATATATATGTATATAGTAAGTAGTTGTTTTTTGTAAGTATGCGTTTGGGATATGCTGCTTTTTTTTTTTTTTTTTTGGGTGAGAAACTCTAAGAATAACCAAGTACACAACACGAGTACGAGTACGAGTACGAGTACGAGTACATTTAATTAGATTACGGTTATACTATAATTATGTTTCAATATTATAATATTAAGTTTTGCTCAGAGTTATACGAGAGATACGAGAGAAAGAGAGAGAGAGAGAGAGAGAGAGTACGATGCGCCAGCTGAATATTACGCTAAACGTGTTTTTTATACAGTTAAATAATTATTTTTTTTTGGGCGTTTTTTTTTTTTAATTTTTGTATTTTTGGGATTGTTTTGAGCATGTACCTAAGACATCGTTAACGAGATTTGATCTGCGCTTCCTCTTATTTGGTGCGGGGTGGGGGGAAATGATGCCTCCGGCGCAACAACTGCGCACGCGTCAAAGTTCCAGTTCCGAATTTTCGGTTCGCCAGTTGCTGCTGGTTCTCTCCACAATTCGTTCACTTTTCAAGTATATATATATGTATATATGTTTTTTTGTTCATTTGAATTATATATATGTTTATATTTTAGGTACATATTTCTTATGCTTTTCATATAGTCGACTACAAATGTATGTATACGCTAGCTAAGACTTTTGTTCCTATGCTTAAAAACTAGTTGTACTTGGATGTTGGTTCACCTATAAGCAGGACACATCACACACACACACACACATCACACACACACACACACACACACACACACAAGGACGGTGTGTGCGAGTGACAGAGCAGTTGGTAAACCAGTTTTCTTTTATTTTTTTTTTGTTGCTGTTTTGTTTCTTGGAGCACAACAAAAGGTGTACGTTATGTTTGTGTGTGTGTGCGTGTGTGTGTGTGTCTGTAGTTTTTGTAAAGTATATAAAAGGGCACATTGTTTATTTGCGTTTCTCTCGACTATCTGCTGCAAGGACAACCCCCGTTAGGATCGGCTGCTTTTGCGAATAAACAGTTCCAGTTCCAGTTCGAGTTCGAGTCCGAGTTCGAGCTGCCCTCCAAGTTGTTGCCGCAATTGCGCAATTGCGCGCACCAGGCCAAACAACCCTTAGGCTACAAGGTATGGCTCACGTTGCCATTGTCCTGTGCCACAATCATAAAAAAGGGGGCATAAACAGCTGCGCGCACAGGACTCGTAAACGGCAGCTGCTATTTTTAATGGCCTAACAAAGCGCGAGCGCGCGCTCTGTCCGTTGCAACTGGCAGGCACAACAACAACAATAACAACAACAACAGTATTTGTGTGTGTATATATGCATGTCTTTGAGTTAATTGTGCGCTTATCAAGCGGACAAATTGCTTAATACGCACGCTAAAAATACAATTTCCGCCGAGGCTGTGCTTCTTATGCCAGGATGCGACTGTGAAAACTGCTTAAACTGTTTTAAGCTAAGCTTGGCTTGGGCCTTGTTGCGATAATGTTCTGTGCAGTTACAGTAGTGTCCAGCAAATTGGAGCCACTTAATTATTAGGGCCCAGTAAGTCAGAACATAATTCTAGAATATTCTGTCAAATGAATTTTGCACCTAGTGTAAAAACTGATAACTCAAATTATTGCCTTCATTATCTTTACTAATTGTTTTATTTGAAGTACTCAACGTTATATACTTAACGGAAGACTAGTCCGTTTATTTAAAGATTCTAGTGTGAAACCTGATTTTGCGATATAATATGCCCTGATGTGTTGTTGTCTCTTCTTTCTTGTTGCCTGGTGGTCGTATTTTGTGTCTTTTGTTTGGCACGTAGCGAAAAACTGTAATTCTAAACCAGACAGAAACCAATAAATAATGTGAAAGATGCAAAAATAAAGAGACTGGGGAAGGGGAAGACCACAGACAAAGGGCCCAAGAAAGAGACGCGACTGTAGTAAATCACACATTATCATTGTTGTAGTTGTTGTTCTGCTGCTGCATACGGCCGAGCAGCTGCAGCTGCGCGCAGTGACACGCCGAAAAACAAGGTGAGAAAAGGAGATAGGAGCGGGAGAGCGTGAGAGCGCACGCGGACAAACGAAACGGAACGGCGCGTAGCTGTAAAATCTGGCAAATCTGCACAGAGAGCAAACCAAGAAACGCAAACAAACAACAGAAATGAAAAAATTAGAAGTTAAAACCCCCAAAGAGAGCGAAAGAGAGAGATAGAGAGAGAGAGAGAGACGGAGAGAGGTAGAAATTGAAATAGCAAAATTGCCATATACATAGTCGGCTAAAATATTAGGCATAGACTACATGTGGCTTACCTGAGTGACCGGATCCTTCATAATGAGCACATCTGTAACGGTGCCAAACATGTTGAAATATTCCTTTAGCTTCTCTGAGGATGTCTGCCAGCTGAGGCCGCCGACAAAAAGTTTGCCGGGTGCTGGATCTGAGAGGCTGCCACCGCTATTGCTGGGCGTGGAGCGGCCCGAGGAGCTGCTCTTGATGCTCAAATTGGCACCGCTGCCATTTTGTGCAGCGGCTCCATTCACATTATCCACCTTCAGAAGCGCCAAGGCGGCCTGTTGAGCCGCCTGTTGTTGTTGTTGTTGTTGCTGTTGTTGCTGCTGCTGTTGTGCAGTCGCCTGCTGTTGGCTGCCATTGGTCTGTGCATTGGCCTGATCCTGTCCAGCTGTGGGCTGCTGTTGGGCCTGCCCGACGGCTGCGGCGGCGGCGGCAGCGGCAGCGCTTTGTTGCTGTGTTTGCTGCACCTGCACCTGCGCCTGTGCCTGGGCCTGTGCTTGGGCTTGGGCAGCAGCGGCGCTCTTAAGCACCGCGGCTGTGGTCAATGTACCGTTAATGGCAGCCACATTGCTGTTGGCTATGGAGGCGACCAGCGCATTGTGAAGATCGCGATTGTGATGCGGATCAATTAGGCCGGCAGCGGCAGCGGCTGCTGCGGCGGCAGCATTATCAATCGGATTGCTGTGGGCGGTAAAAAAATATTTGTCAGCTGCACTCAACAAATCCTTGTGCGGCGATTGTGACTGCGACTGCGACTGCGGCAAAGGCAAAGGCAGCGGCTGCGGCAACGGCAGCGGCAGCGGCGGCGGCGGCTGATGGTGCATCATGGTAGCGCCCTCCTTAAGAGCGTGCATTTCCTGCTTGAGCTGAATTTTGAAGGCCGTTTAAGCGTGCAGCGCAAGAAACGAAATTTCTCTCTTAATTGCTTTTGCTTTTGATTTATGTATATATTGATTTGTTTTTGCTTTCGCCGTTTTTCTTTGTAATATTTTTGACGTTTCGCGTTTTTTTTCTTCTGTTACGTTTCTCTAACTTGTGTCTGTTTCTTTGGGTTTTTCCCTTTTCGCGTTTTGTTTTTGTTGCCAATGGCAATGGGCGGTGCTTAGCTATACTTTTGCTTAGTTATTTGAATTCAACAAGCACATAAATTAATTCAAATGTCCACACGGCACGAACAGCAAATAAATCCAACGAAAAATTTAAGAGCAGTATAAATAACTATATAATTAAACGTACTATATCGTGTATTTATATATTCTATTATTTTATGCGTTTGCCAATTTTACTAAACGTCTGCGCGGCGCGACTGTAGAATTCTGAATGCGTCGCAGGATGTGTGCGAGAGCTCGAAAATATTTCATTTGTAAGTCAACGAATGAGCGTGCGCAGCGGCATTCGAAAATAAAATACACACACACACACACACACATATACGCACTAGCTAGACCGAAGGAGTGATGAAGAGCGAGAGAGTGAGAGGCAGAGAGCGATGCGGCCGAGAATCTGTCTAAAGCAAAGACAGCTGTCATTTATTGTGCCTGACTGGGGTTGCCCTACACACTGTGCACGCTATTGGAGGGTTGCCAGGTAGGCAGGCAGGACCTCGCTCGTTACGGCGCAGTGTTGCAAAGTTGTCGCACAGGTGTCAGTGTTGATAAGTGTTCGCGCTAAATAAGTTGATTGCCGTTGAGTAGTTTTCAAGTGCTTGAAAGCACTTGAAATAATTTCAAGGGAGATTAACGTCGCTTTTGACAAGATCTTAAATTTAGCAAAAGTCTATTATTGTTTCTTAATCTCTCGTCTATAAGCCCATAACATAATAAATCATATAATAAATATGCCTCTGCCATTCTCCTTTTACAGGCAATACCAATGATAATATTTTGTACACTTGGCTTCACTTGTGAAGTTCTTTATTGCATACGTCAGGCAATGACCCGCGATGATGTGTGGTACACAAAAACCTCAGCTGCATGTGAATTTGTTGAGACACGTCAAGGTTATAAGGTGCCGGTACGCAAGGTAAGTATAACAACAGTATAACTAAATCAGATTTGATTTTTCCTAATGATTGTGTGCGTCGTGCATCTTTGCAGCTGTTCGTTTATAATCAGAAATACGAGAATCCTCCTGGTCTAGTAAATGCTTTGCAAGGTGATGTCAATGGACCACCGTGTAAGTATGAATAGGATCAAAATTTTCAGCGCTTCCGACGGGAAATCCCCACTGCCAGCTGAGGACATAATATTTTATGCTTTCAGCTGGGTTAATTTAGCTTTTATTTAAGTAAGTGGTTCACTTTGTCGACCTGGAGGCGTTGAAAATTGTACATTTAACGAGCATTTTCGATTTAAATTTAATGCATATTTGGAAAATTTGTCCTTCCAGGCGACACTTGTGAGAAAGAAGAGAAAAAGAAGGGAGTTAACGGCAAAGTATTGGCCGCCCATGGAGCTTTGGGCCTTGGCATTTTAGGCATGATGGTAGCTCTTTAGCTATATGCAGAGAAATGAGCGTTATGTGACGACTTCCATTCCCTTAACTAATTAAATAAACATTTTGTGGGTACATCATTTACAGGCGAAGACGAAAACAAAAACAAAAACAAAAAGAAGACCAAGAAATAGTTAATCGTAATCGTAAGCCGTGAATGCAGAATGTTTGAATGGAATGCTACGAGTGACGCATATTTCGGGAAGGAGGGCCTACACGTAATTTTTTAGAGGTGCCAATCCACGCTCGAGAGCACAATGCACACGACTCTTATTCGGGCTTAGATGATGTACTATATTGGATGAAAATTCACTTTGCAATATATATAAAACAATTTTAGAAAAAAATATTTTTTTTTTGACTAGCTTAAAGAAATAAATTCAATTTAATTTTATTTCTTTTGTTTTTATTTAAGTTGCAACAGGATGTGCAAGGTAAATGAAATTCGAAAAGTTCTTTTGGGCACAGAAACCACAAAACAGGAAATGGTCTGCACAAAGCTACTCAAACTGTTGAACAAGCATGGGTTTAAGAAGCGCTGTTAATTAACGCGTCATTGTAAGCAGTGCAACAGTAAGCAGTCGAGACTGCAGCAAAGCAACGACGCTGATGCAAGCAGTGCAAAATGCAGTGCACAATTCAAATTTAAATTCAAACTATTTCAGTTAAGAAATGCTGCGCGCGCAGCGTCTAGATGGGTTACTGCGCGTTACTAGGCTGCGAATTGCTGCTGTACTTGCTGTGCCATCAACTGTCCGGCACTTGCTTCCAATGCAGCTGCGCAGTGCCCACGCACAGCACCCACACACAAAATAGAAACAACACAGCACCAAAATATCCCTCAAATATCTATGGCTAGGACAATTTTCAAATTTGGAATCTACATGCAGAGACGGGGATTTGGTTACGTGTGTGTGTTAATCAGAAACAAATCGAGGCAGCGACGCTGGCAGCGTAGGATAAATGCGTTATGTGCGTTATTGATTTTTAAAGACGCACACACACACACACACATCGAACCGCTAGCCAGGAATAGGAAATAACGCCAAAGGATATTAAATTTATTGAAAAAGATTGCAAAATAATTTGATAAGGCAGCGTCAGGGGCAGCAGCTGCTGCATACAATTTTGGCAAAGTCCTGTGTGTATGTCCTGTCGGTGGTCGGCGGTTATTGAACTCGGGGGATTTTTTTTGACAATGGGCGTGTCGCGCGCCCATTGGCAGACGGTAGGCGTTAGGCGACGCGCACTTCTATGGCCGCTCTGCTACTGACCCAGAAAATGTGTTTGGTATTAAAATATTAATGAATGGGACGCAGGCATTGGGCGGGTGAGGCGGAGCGCAGTCGGGACGACGCCGCAGCATATCAGGTGGCCCTAGGCGGGCACTACAAATGGATTTGTTTCCAGTCTGATGACATCAGCAACGGGCGGCGACAAAAATTCGAATTCGATTAGGCGCACTTACAAGTGCTGCAAGAACCCCACACTCAAACAGACCTCCCCCCCCCCCCAACACCGCCCAGGAAACACACCTAAATAAACATTTTAATTGCGGCAAATAAACAACACGCTGAGCCGCATTAAAATCCTAGCGCACATAAATCATATAGTTCAATAGGGCGCAGAAGAGATGGCAAGCGAAGCGCCGTTTTGAAACTGCATTGAAAATTCGCACGAAAGGCACAGGGAAATTCAGTTAGGCGGAAAACATATTTCCATTTTGCCGGCAAACAAACAAGCAACAAAAACAGCAGCAACAGCAACAGCAGCAGCAGCAGCAGCAAGAACAACAATCATCAGGAAATGGAAATGACAATTTGTTGCCTGCGGGCGCACCACGCTGCGTATGCGTTATATTATCGTACATTCTGTTCAGTTCGGTTATTTATTTATTTTATATGAACAATGTGTCTGTGAAACCGTACAGAACAAAAAAGAAAAATAACGTGCAACAGCTTCATTAAAAGTATTTTGCAATAATGTATTTATGGTAAAAAGCAGTAACAGAAACACTTCGAGAGAGAGAGGGAGATAGAGAAAGAGAGCAATATATATATATATATATATAATATATAGAGAGAGAGAGAGAGAGAGACAGAGAGAGAGAGAGACAAAAGTCGCACGACTTGGCCAGTGGGTTGGCTGATTGTCTATCAGCCATTGTTTGATTATGGCCAAAACTTGGCACAGATTGTGTTGCATTTAAACATAAATTATGAACTTTACTCTGCAATTTATTGAAAGAAATACCAATTAAGATGAGGTAAGAATTTTGTGTAATATTGCGATTAAAAATGGCATCAGTTATTGAGTCAAATGAAAATTAAATTGTTTAGCAATCAAATCCTAATTTATTAATCAAATATAGTTAAAAATATTTACAAAATATTTTAAGAATGTTTTTGAATCAAGACTGCAGCTAAGTATATATTATTATATATTATATAGTATTTTATATTAATGATATACTATATATTATTATATATTATATTTTGAATATTTAATATTAAATATTATATGGATTCAAAAACTCTCTTAAAATATTTATAAATATGTATAACTTTATAAAATAAACTATATAAAACTATCATTTAAGATTTTTTTCAACAACTAACTTCTCGCTTTTCTTTACAATACTCCGATTTTTGTTGGTAAAATGATTAATAAGTTCTCATTATAAAATTAAATAAAATATGAATCCTACACAATGAACCCATATATTTTAATCAGTCAATACTACGGATAAGATCTTTTTTGTGTTTTTTTATTCTAAATCTAATATATCCTTTCGAGTCAAATGCGTCTTAACTCTGTTTGGTATATATAAATTTTTTTCAAATAAACTCCTAAAATCATAATTCTATCGTCCCTAAAGCGTCAATCCATAGCATCAACTAGTTCGATCAGCTTTATTCCGTTTGCTGACAGCTCAAATCTGAATACCGATTATCCTGACACATTACACGCCCACATGGCCTGCCATCAGTTCAGGCCGACAAATTGCAACTGCATTTTAAATGACAACAAAGCTGGCGCCCAACAACAACAACAACAACAACAATAACCACAACCTCTGCATACTTGAAATGCCTGCAAACAAATTGCTGGCATCTGCTGCCGCACGTGAGCGCCTCTCTCTCACCTGCCCACGCCTCTCCCCAGGCCGCTTTCAATGCCTCCTATTAGTGCCCCTCCCCCCTCTCCTGCTCACATTTCCAATCATAATCGCCATACCGAAGCGCAATCGTTGGCCACAATGCGCATTTAAACAGGCAAAAATGCGGCGCTAAAATTTATGTAGATACAAAACTGCAAGGAAGGGAACTGCAGAGCTAGGCAGAGGGAGCAGAGGGGGGTTGGTTGGCTGTGGGGGTGGCTGCACATTTTCATTGAGTAAAATTTCCAGCAATATGAAGTCTGCTTAAGGGTGCAGCGGGGGTAGCAGCAGCACTCTCAACTTTAGGCAGCATATGGAACAACTTTATTGTTTATACATTTGATTTTTATGCTGGATTCGAGCGGAAGGAAGGGGAGGGTTGAGGCTGGAGCGGGGGTTGCTGGCTGGCTGGCTGGCACTTGCAGCGCTTGCAAAGTGCACGTCGAACAACAACGCATAAATTCAAGTGAAACAACAACGACAACAACGAAGTCGCTTGGAAAATGTCTATATATCATGTAGTACAAAAAGAGAGGGCTTTTGTTTGAGGGCGGCCGGGATGTGTGTGTGTACGTGTGTGTGTGCGTGTGTGTGTGTGAGGTGGGGTGGGATGTTATATGCGGCCTGGAAATGACAAAACGTTACCATAAAACTGGAAAACCAACCCCCAGCACATAAGATACACAGCGAGAAAATCGGCTATGCACAAATTCACAAGTAAAAAGAGAAAGGGAGAGAGAGCGAGAGAGAGAGAGCCCGCGTAAGCTTAGCCTGGCCTGGCTGGCGACTCAAACTACCCCTGTCGTCATCAACAACAACAACAACAACGATTACAACAATAACGTTAGCTCTGTTGGGGGAGAGTTTTTCGCAATTGGAATGCGCGCGCAACCCTCGAAAAATGTTGGTGCGTGGTGACGACAGCAACGTCGGCGTCGGCCGCTTCCTTTGGCTGCCTTTCAGTCAACTTTGGGTTTTCGTACGTGCAATTTCTCGCCCGGCTCGATGACGGACCGTTGTTTCTGCCTGTCCAATATATGTTAAATGCCAAATACCAAAAATAATATATACATATACATATATATATGGCAAAGGAAATTAAAAAAACTCGCCAAGCCCTTGGATAGCTGTGAACTAGTGTTAAAAGAAGAATAGGCGCAATTTTAACTGCATAATATATCTGATATATATATATATATGGTACTTATATGCAGGCGGCATATATGTGTGTCTGATTGGGATATATCGTCGATCGTGGCGCTTGCCAGTGATATTGTCCTGTCACAGCAGTATTGTACGTTAAGCAATTGGTACTGCTGAGCCGGGGCATTAACATTGTTGAGCGTCGTTAGCAACCAGAAAAGCCACAAATCAGAGTTCGACAAGTTCGGGCAAGGGGACATAAAGCAACTCCTCACTCAACTCACCTCAGAGAAATTCAAAACACACACATACTACACGAGCGCATAAATTATGCATGCATGTGTGTGTGTGTGTTTGTGTGTGTGTATGTGTGTATGCGGAAAGACCGGAAAAATCAATTTTCCATTTTTAATTCAAAGCTAAAAGCGACGGCAGCAACTCGACACGCACACGCAAAGCGAGCCAATGTGTATGTGTGTGTGTGTGTGTGGGTATACATGTATGTGTGTGTATTTGATAGCAAGCCTAAAGGATAAGCAGGATGCTGCAAATCAGCAGCTAGGCCTGAGAAACACACACACACACACAGAGACAGGGATAGCAACAGAGAGCAAGCGCTACAATTCGAGAGAGCGAGAGTGAGAGAAAGAGCGAGACTGAGAGAAAGAGCGAGAGAGAGAAAGACAGCGAGAGAGAGCGTGCTAAAGTATAGACAAACGCTTGGCGAAACGTTTTGGTAATTGAAACAAGTCACCAAATTTCGAATACAAATATTAAAACATTTATAAACAGCTTTCAAATCGATGCCAAAAACACAAAATGCGTATATATAATATTTTAAATTTAAAACAAAAATAACGCAAAATGAAGCTTAACAGTTTTGGGCGCGACCACACCCACCAGCAGGGGGCGGAGTTGGGTTGTGTTTCAATTGCCAAAATGTTGCCAGGCAAAAATGCCGGGTATGCGATGTGTGTCCGGCTGCTGGTCCTTGGTCCTGCTGGGCTGCTGCGACTGCAGTACCCAAAAAAAAAACAACAAAAAAACAAGAATATGAAATGTAAGAAAAAAGCAACCCCTAAAATCGTGGT